GAATGTGCAATGGTTGCTCCTGCTCGTCTGCAATGTGACTCCAATCCGGGCCCCACGTTATAGCCGCAAAAACGGCGCTCAGTGCTTCCCGTACGTTGATGCTGAATGAGGAGCCTTGGGGTTCAGGAGCTTTTGCTATCGCGGATCGTTCGGCTTTGTCGAATTGGACACGAACGTATTCTTTCGCTGCTGGGAAGAGTATGCATAGCCCCGAATCGCTAACGCCCATGAAAAGATTAATCGATGGCTCGAAAGTGCCTGCCAGGATACTCGTCGGTATAGAATTCATGGCTCCATGTTGGAAAAGAGATAAGATCCAAGTCAAATCATCACGAACAGAATCCGAAAGCAGTATCTTCGCGAATTTTGATGCTTGCTTCCACGTAGTATGTAGCCGTTGGATGAAGACACGAGTTGCTCTACAGCATAGTCCCACATGGCGAAGCGACCCAAGGAGCTTCTCTAGTTTCTTTTTCTGAATGAATTTGGCGTTGAAAGCCTCGGAAATTCTTGCGACTGCCTTGGTGATCTCTGTAATGGGCATTGAGACGGTCTTCCTGTCCGTGTTCCATACGAGTCCCAGTGCGCAAAGTTCGGTAGACCACGGCGAGAATTTTTTTTGTCTTTGATCGCGTATGGGCCGAGCGTGGCCATCATACTCAATTTGAGAGCGGTTTCTGCTAGCATCAGTCGGTTGGCGTCATCGATTTCCACTAGAAGATGACCATCTACCCAAACATACGAAAATAATGGGTCTGTATCCGGGTCGGTTGGATCCATCTCTCTCGATACCATGAAGGAAATTGCACCACCAAATTCCCCGTAATGCGCCGGCGATCCTGTCCAGCCGAAGGGTAGCGACAACTCCACTACGGCGGTATCAGCATTGCAGGAACCCACGAAGTGGGCTGCCTAACTCACAGCGACTGGGGCGTTTCGGAATGCCCACTTCACGTCACCTTTGAGAATTTTGATGCGTTTTCCTGGATAGCGAGTTGCAAGGTTCCGGTCGTCGGATTTGGAAGCGCAGCCACTTGGCGATAAGTGCTTCATGCACACGCTTTGTCGACCTTTGCGTGGCAAGGCATCGATGACCTCGCGAGGTGTTTTTCTTTTCGCACGATTCGTATCGGAACGGCGAAACGGATCGCTTGTCCTTGCCGAATTGTATGGCGGCCGCCGTGGAGCACTTGCTGCAGTCCCCAAGGCAGCGAGACGCTCTGATTGGATGATATATAGCACACTTTGCAGATCTGGGTCTTGTAGAGACAGCTTTGATGTTATCGGGGAGCGGGTCGAGCTTCCAAGCCGAACGTCCTACTCTGAAGCTGAGCGGTATTCTTCCATGACACTATCAAACCAGAATGAGAGCGTGGCAATATCTTGAGCACTCCAGTGACAGAAGGAACGTAATTCTTCAATGAATTCTCGTGCACAGCTAAGCAGTCGACACGTCCCATGATCGAAGAATTCTTCGGCAAACACGTGAAGTACCCTGAGGGCATTGGAGACATCATCCAATGATTGGGGTTTTGATGCCGTCGGAAGCGAGACTGATGCTGCAAAGTTGTTCAAGTTGACGGACGCGTTTGCATACCAAGCTCGGCGAGCTGCGAAATCAAATCGGACGAAATGCATAACAGATAGACCGCGTCTGCCAAACTCGAAGTCATACACCCTTGCGATAATGCGGGATGAGGCTTGAACTTGGTTGCCTGGGAAGAAATCATGGCTTCAGCAAGGGCATATGGAGACTTACCTGCGTGATCTGGTGATACCAAGAGACGGTTAATTGCTTGTTGAGGCCTGGACGGGTTGAAGGCGTGCTTTGCAGGTCGTTCAGGCGTAGAGGACAGGTCATGTAAGTCCGATGGACTTGTCTACCGACAGCGTTGTGAGTCGCGGTCTTCAGCTGGAGGCGCAGGTCGTTTTCCCGTTGTAGACTTGCACATAGTCAGATAAAAACGAACGAGTTCCGGATCATCGGCGATTGCTGCTAGAACTTTGAGTGGGAAGCTGGTTCAACTTCCTGATTGATCGTCTCTTGCTGGGCGTTTGGAACCGAATCGTCAATAGCGATCGATCGTGGCCCAGGTGCAGCTGGTCGGCTACTATTACTGGACTGGATAGCTTGTAGGATGGCATCGAGGTCGTCGTTTTCCGCCGAATCATCAACATCATCTCGCGTCATAGGAAGGGGCGCCTGGGTTGGGTCGTTGTCTAGGCGCGTTCCAATATTGTTTTGTTGACTGCTTGGGATCCGGCTACCTCCGTCAATGTAGTAGACATAATCGACGGCGTGACGCACTGAAACCAGACTTTCCTTCCCAGAAGTGCTGTTAATCCATCGAGATGCTGTCGTGGCTTCCGGTTGCTGCCGGGCTGGAACTATTCCGTGCAGAATACGCGGGATAACTATGGTCGCTCGTTGTCCATTTCTAGCAAAGAGACGGTCAAGTGTGAGTTCGTGATGCTGAAGCAGAGTTGCCACATCAAGGGTATCGGTAGACGGCTGAAAGTTGACCATCAGGAAGCAGAGGACGGGAGCAACTTCGACAAGGTCAGCTATCGTAGACTCCACGAGGTTAGATGAGGTGCGAATGCTGGCCATCCCTTCTCCATACGACACCACCTGGCCATACGCATAAGCTCCGTTACTTATCCCCACGACCGGCTTACGAAGCCATGCACCCGGAGCTCCATTTGTAAATTCTGCTGGGTCGACACGACGAGTGGAAAGTAGGGAAGCACGAACTTAGACGGACGTATGGGAAGGGGGGGGGGCTTGCAACAGCCCCACAGTCGCTTGGGGTCCGTTAACTTCAATGACCGCTCCGTACATCGGCGTTGATCCTGGTGAACTGCCACTGATATCTTCAAGCATGAGCAGGACGTGCGTGACGGGAGTTGGCATCTTGTGATGGAGAGAGTGGTCGGAGAAGGACTTGGGAGACTTGTCGGCTCGACGGAAAGACGGGAAATGAGCTAACTATCCTGAGCTATGTCTGCGGTTGTTAGTGGTCTCTTTCGAGCACATCCGTTGGTTTCAATGCTTTGGCTTCGAAAACCGCAGCTTTGGCACGCCAATAACTCCCCATCTTCAATTTTCTTTTTCAAC